CGTGTGCCTTGGCAGTCTCGGGGCGCCCAATGTCTTGCTGCGGCCCACGCGGCCTGCCCACGTCCGCCCGTTGCGTACCCTCTGCGGTGTCACCGTCACCTTCGCTGCCACCGCCGCCGGCGCCCGGTGCGTTGCCCTCAGCTGCTGCGGCTGCTGCCGCCGCCTGCTGGTCCATTTGGCTTGCCCGCCCCGCTACCGACCCTGGATCCTGGGTGCGGAAGCGGGGCCTGGTCAAAAAAGGGTTCAGGTTGCTGCCGGGTCGCCCGTCGTTGTCGCCGTCCATGGCCTCAGCCTCGTCGTCGAGCGCGTCGATGACGGTGCGGGCACGCACGCCGCCTTCGGTCGGCTGAATCGGTGGCGGCGCCGGCGGCTCCTCGCCCGACTCGAGCGCCTCTCGCTGCAGCGCCTCCTGCTCCTTGAGCCAGTTCGGCAGGCTGCTCTTGGCCCGTATGCTCGACGAACCGTGGTCGGCATCGCCCGCCTTGCTGTACGGATAGGAAGGCTTCGGCGCCACGGTGGGCGGGATCCGTTTGCCGTTGGACGCCACTGCCACGGGCGCCGCGATTGAGCCCCCTGCCGCGCCCTCGCCATCGAATCGGCTCAGCTCGGACCCTCTGTGGCCGTCGGTGGCCCGACCGGCCTCGAGCGTCGAGCCCGAGCCGCGGCGGTGGACCGACTGGACGTCGCTGATCGCCTTGCGCGACTCTGCGCCGCCCGCTCCGCCTCCATCGGTGGTCGTCCCGCCTCCCGTGCCGGCGGCGGCGAACGCCTTGCTGCCCGAGACCGACCTCCGCTTGGCGTGGTGCTGTGGCGGCGGCAGGACCTCTGGTGGCGCCGTCTGGCCGTTGAGCAAGCGCGGCTTCTCCGAGACCGGATGTCGCGAGCTGGAGCTCTGCAGCACTGTGAAGGTCTTGGGCGGCAGCGCCTGCTTTGCCTTGCGCACTTCGCTGCTAGCGTTGAGTCCCGCCTGGATGAGCGGGCTGATGTGGCGTGGAGGCAGCGGCGGCGGATTGAGCGCGGGCCGCGGCGGCAGGGGCGGCGATCCCATGAGTCGGTCGAGTCGCTTCGAGCGCGACGAGCTCGCCTGCGATGACGCGCCGTCGTCGGCTCCTCCACCCGCGACTGCCGACGTGTCGACCACGAGCCGCGGCGGGAAAACGCCATGCTGGGCCGCCGAGGGCGTGCCGTTGCGGAAGGGGTTGGAAGCGGGCGAAGACGCGCGCACGGGCGTGGGCTTGACGAGCCGCGGCTTGCTCTGCTTGAACGGGTTGGGGGCCGGATCGAACCCACGCAGCGGCTGCGCTGCCACCGGCGACGACGAGGCAAAGCCGGGAACGGCTGCACTGTCGCGGAACGGATTGGCGCTGGCGGATGGTACCGGTGGTGCGGGGGCGGCGCCAGACTTGGTCGAATGCTGATGATGATGATGCTGCTGACGCGACGCAATGCTGTCGTAGTGGATGTGGGGCGCGGCATGTTTCGGCTTGGGCGCCACCAGGACGGGCAGCGACGGCTTGGCAGGCACGGCGGGAGGCATCGATGGGATGGCAGGGGCAGCCACGGAGGCCACGGCGTTGGCAGACGACTCTTGCGCAGTCGGCTTGGCCGCCAACGCCGGCGTCGCCGAGGCGGACGGCACCTCTTCGCGAACTGGCGTCAGCAAGGGCTTCGTCTCCGGCTTGGGCGGCGGTGGCGCCTGCTGCGGTTGCTCAGCTTGCTGCGGTTGCCGCTGCTGCTGCTGCTGCTGCTGCTGCTGCGGTTTCAGCAATGTTGCCGAAGTCAATGGCGTACCACTGCCAATGGCAGCGGCCGGAGCCGCCGTCTGGCTGCGTGGCGCGGGCGATGCCTGGAAAGACTGCGGGCTGCCAAAGGTGGCGGCGTGGGCGCTCTGGGGCGTCGTGATGAGCGCTGGCCGCTCGCTGCGCTGCTTGCTGTGGCTGATGCGGGCCGGCGAGGTCTGGGTAAAGAGGAGCTCCTTGGTGGCGGTCCTGCCCTGCTGCGCCCACGAGACGAGGCGGAGCATGGCGAAGAAGTGGCCCGATGCCAGCCCACGCGGCGTCCTCTCAAAGAGCGAAAGGATCTGTGGCAGCAGCGCGGCGTTGCAAGAGCGAGAGCGAGAGCGAGAGAGAGAGGGGTATGAGTTCGGGTCAGCGGCGTTTCAGTCTTTTGTGCGAGAGCGCCCGACCGCGAGAGCTGGGGCTTCGACGCTCGCCGCTGCCAGGCAACGTTGGTATTCACCTCTAGCTCATCTTCGAGGTTGAGGCCACACTCGTCGCGCAGGTAGCGCAGGCCGTCGGCCTCATCGACCAGGCCGGGCTGCCCGGAGGCGGCAGGCTTGATGCTGGCAAAGCTGGCCGTGTACACAACAAACTCGGGCGGCGAGAGGGCCGACTCGTCGAGAAAGGCGCGGCGCAGCGACGAGGCGGCAGCCACCGTGTTGATCGAGGCGGTCGAGATGTGGCTGGCGGGCGAGTTGGGCATGGCGGTCGCGGTGTTTGATGCTGCCGCTGATGCGGCGGCGGCGGCCATGGTATGGGAGAGGCCCTGAAAGGAGGATGAGGACGGGCCGTTCAAGGTCGTGGGCGACCGGCCGTTGGCAGCCGACGCCATGGGGGGCGCGCGAGGATCAAGAGGTCGCCGGCGGGGAAGTGGTGTGGACGACGACGTTGCGATGGTCGATGGTGCGCAGGGCTGCTGGTTCAAGGACCTTGGCAGGCCGGGCGAAGAGGGCACGGCGCAGAGACGGGTCGGCAGCAGTGGACAATGGCGTGTCGAGGCCCCGAGCAGGTGCGAATGCGAGTCGTCGGCGGCGCGAACACAAGATGGAGCGTCTATGGGTTGTGCAGGTAAGGGGAGGTGTTCCGCCGGATGCGAGGCGTGTCGGCAGCAGGCGGCTCCTTGTGTGAATCGGTTGGCGGGGGTCAGAGAATGCTGCGATAAGAGGCGGCGCGCTGGGAGGACGATGGACGGAGGGTCCTAGCAGATACAGTTAGGGCGCGTGGCTCTCGCGGTTGATGGCGATATAGCCAGGCTAGTGGTACGCGATCAAGACGTGTGTGTGTGCATGTGTGTGGGTAGCGCGGGTGCTGCGAATGAACGAGGCGGGCCGTGGTCGGGGTCAAGGGGCGGACGCGAGGACCTAGAAGATGTGGGCGAGGTGGGGCTTGAGGATCCAGCGGGCGACTTGTCCTGCGACGATGATGATGACGACGGCGACGACGACGACGACGAAGGGAGCGACTCCCGCAGTGGTAGTAGTGTGGCGGGACGACGTGATCACGCGCGGTATGGAAACGAGCGAGAGAGTATGAATCGGTGGATGTGGGGCGGGAGGGCGGTTGTGCGGGCCACGACGACGCGGATGGAGGTCGGGAGCGACGAGGAGGAGTGCGAGCCAAGCGGCCAAGCCGGAAGGGGACGATGACGAGCGCCCAAAACGCAGAAGCAGCAAGCCAAGCCAGCAGAGTCGCCGCCGGAAGAGGCAGATGATGGTCGGTCGGGGCGGGCTGCTGGCCTGCCGGCCTGCCTGCCTGCCTGACCAAAGAAAGCCGGCCCGATTGGAAAATGCCGTCCATCCATCCCATCTCTGAGCCGCATTCAAGATTTCGACCAACGCGGCAGGCAAGGCAGGCCGGCCAGCGCCAGACCGACTTCCGCGGCGAAAGCAGAGGCTAAGCAAGCAAGCCCAAGCAGGCCACCTCTTGGCAGGGGCACGCGCAGAATCCGGCAAAAAGTTGCCGTGCATGGCCGCCCCCCTGCCTTGTCGACCTCGTCTGCTCGACCACGTCCGCGGCTCGACCGCACGCCGCTCCCTCTTTCAAACGAGGCAAGCCTAGCCCCCCGGCGACCATCCATCCCAACGACGTCGTTGTTGGGATCCGCACAAGGTAGAGGCTACCTGGAGCAAGGCAGCAAGCAGCAAGCGGCAAGCGGCAAGCGGCAAGCGGCAATCTGCTCCCGCAACGTCGATCCGTCGCCGGCAATTGTTCCCCCACCTTGGCCCCTCTCTCTGTGTTTGGCGCACCCCTCGCTGCCGTAATAGGCAGGCCGGATGGAGATCGACAGATGGATGGATGGAGGGACGGCCGCATCGCAATGGATCTCGAAGGGCCAGGTCGAGGGGCGAGGGGCGAGGGGCGAGGACGCTTCCTTCGGAAAGAACGGGCCAGCAGGGCAGCGCGGCGCAGCTCGGGCCAGGTTATTTTCGGTCGTCGGGGCGAAATCCATAGCCAGCCATCTTCTCCCCACGCCAGAGTGGCCGGCACGGCACGGCGCGGCACTTTACGCCAGGGATCCTGACGTCACTCGGTGGACAGGGTCGCGTCGGGCGGGGCCAGGGCGCGCATCCATCTGCATGCACTCACTCTTCTCGGCCCTCGCTCGGTCCCGTCGTCTTCGTCGTCGTCTTCGTCGTCGTCTTCGTCGTCGTCGTCGTCGTCGTCGTCGTCGTCTGCCTGCGACGTTGCCCCCATCGCTCACACGCTCTCCTGGACGCTGGGCCCACCGCGCCACGCACACCACCATGCCATTGTCCAGGGACACCCGTTTCGCTTGCTGCCTCGTCTGGGCCAATGCCGAAGAAAAGAGAAAGAGATACGATGGTGGGGGAAGCGGCCGCTTGTCGATCCGTGCGTCGATCTCGAGTCCCTCGGCTGCACGTGCGGATCCTCGGGTCAGGCAAGGCCGGCCGCTCGCACCGGCTTCGACACGGCGAAAGCGACATAGTGACCGGCCAACGAGCATCGACGTCGACGTCGGCGCCGAGTGGATCGATCTTCGCCTCCTGCAGCAGAGGCCGGGCAGGTAGGCCATCCTCGATTGCCTACTGCTGCTGCTGCTGCTGCTGCTCTCCTCCTGCTGCCTCGGCCTCGACGGGTACCATCGACAGGTCCGTGGCCGCCGGCGTGGCGGGCGGCGTGATCTCGGCCGACTTCATCTGCGCCAGCGCCGGCCTCGCCCCCGCCGCCTGCATGCCTCCGTGGGTGGCCGCCTGCATCTCGAGCGCCTGCGACGCCGCCGAAAAGGGCACGCTGCGAGCCTTGGGGCCCGCCGCCTTGAGCTGCTCGACGTGCACGTCGTCCGAAAGCGAGTGGGTCCGGTTGCGCCGCTGCGTCGCCGCCTGGCCCGCGCTCGCCGTCGCCGTCGTCGTCGCCGACGAGACTGCGGGGCCGCCGCCACCCGCGCCCGCGCCATCGGCCGAGGCGTCGGACGCGTTGGCCGCGCGCCTGGCGTCGCCGCCGAACTGCGTCCGCTGCTCGGTAGGCGACATGGCGCCGCCCTCGCGCATCAGCGCACGCAGGTCCTGGTTGCTCCGGTTACGCTTCTCGGCAAACGTCTCGAGGCTGCCGAGACCGCCGCCGCCGTGGACGCTGCCGCTCCTCGAGCGCGACTGCGACCGGCTCCGGCGCCCCTTGCCGTGTCCGCCGGGCGTCGAGGGGCTCTTGGCGCCGCCTCCGAAAACGAGGTTCTGCGGGTTGAGCAGCGAAAAGACGGCCTCGTAGTCGCCCTCGTCGCGCTCCGAGTCGTCGTCGCTGTCGCCCTCGGTGGCGCTCGAGTAGTCGTCGGCGTCGGCCTCGATCTCGTCGTCTTCCAGCACGGCATTGTCGCCGCCCGCGCCTGCGCCTGCCCCCGCCGACGACGCCCGCAGCTCCTCGGCCGTGATGGCGCGGCGCGTCGACGAGCCCCGACGTCGGCCCCAGCCAAACAGCCGCTCGTCGACCCACTGCAGCGGATGGGCCAGGACGTCGGCCGACTTGCCGCTGCGCCGCTTCTGCCGCCACAGCAGCGCCTCGCGGCCCGTCGACGGCGGCGCCTCGGACGCCGGCGTGAGGCGCGTCTCCTCAAAGTCCTCCCACACCTGCGGCGCCAGCTCGTCGATGAGCGTGTGCATGTCGGCCGAGATCTGCGCCCGCGTGCGCTGCAGGTCGGCGATGACCTTGTGGTTGCCCGGCAGCAGCGAGACAAACAGCGGCGGGAGCGACTTGTAGATGTCGATGCCCACCTCGCCAAACTTGAGCGCAGAGTAGCTCATCGTCGGCAGCACCGTCAGCGCGTAGAGCGGCATCAGCAGCTGGTGGCGCGCCGGCAGCCCGTGTCGGTGGGCAAAGTAGGTGGCCAGGCCGGCGTAGAACGAGTAGAGGACGGGCGCCACGCCGAGCGACACGAGCACCTTCCACGTCGCCAGCACGTCGCGGCCGGCGATCTTGACCTGCGACGCCGCCAGCGCCTCCTTGGCCTTGCGGTGGCTGATGAGCTTGGCCAGCACGATGATGGGCGAGTTGAGCACCGCGCCCGGCAGCGCCAGCCCGCCCCAGAAGCCGAGCAGGCCGAGGCGGTAGAAGAGCAGCCCGAGGCTGCGCCAGCCGGCGCGCGTCGCCCGCTCCACCTGGTGGTCGCGCAGGCCGGCGTAGCGCAGCCGCTTGTTGTAGCGCAGGATGTCGTCCTTGAGCTTCATGACGCGCGGCTCGTCCTTGAACTTGAGGTAGCCCATGATGAATTTGCGGTTGAGCTCCACCGTCTTGCCCAGGCTCAGCGTCTGGCCGGGCGCCTTGTACAGCCGGCGGCCCGCCTGGACCACCATGAGCGTCTCGTAGTCGGGCGCCCGCAGCGTGACGCCCTTGAGGCCGTCGTAGACGATGTCCATCATCTCGCCGACGGCCTTCTTCTTGCCGTCGCCGCCCTCTTCGAAGCGCCCGACCAGGTGGCGCGGCACATCGATCGGCGAGCCAAACTCGACGACGGCACGGCTGCGGAACTTGTGCGGGTGGAAGTAGGACATGCCGACGGGCACGATGCGCACGTTGAGCTGCGGGTTGGCCGACATGGCGCCGAGCGCCATGATGACGACGCCCGCCTTGAGCGGCAGCAGGTCGGTCCGGTCGTGGCTGCCGCCCTCGGGGAAGATGCCCAGGCAGCCGCCCTCGGCCAGCTTCTCGTAGACGCTCGAGTACATCTGCGTCTGGTCGACAAAGGGCAGGCACTGGTACTTGCAGCCGGAGCCGCCGCCCGCAGCGCCCTTGGCCTCGTCGGCCGACGACGGCGAGTCCTTGCGGCCGCGATCGGCGCCGCCGCCGCCGCCGCCCTTCAGTGCCTCGATGGCGCGCGGGTCCTTGAACTCCTTCTTGATGCGCAGCTCGGTGTCGCTCACGACCTCGACCACCTCTGCGCACGCGTAGCCGGTCGACTTGGGCAGCATGATCTGGCCCTTGGGCACGAGCTGCGAGGTGAAGGCGGTGCCGTGGCCGATGAGGCGCAGCGGGTCGCCCGACGGGTGCGCCGCCACGGTGCCCTGGCCCGCCTTGGCGCTGTCGGCCGCCCGCGCCACGGGAATCGACTGCATGATGCGCGCCGCCGCGCCAATGAAGCGGCGCTTGATGCTCTTTTCGGCGATGAGGAAGGCGACGCGGCGGCCCGAGGCCCTACGCACCTCGGACGCCAGCAGCAGCGGGTCGAGGAACTGGTTGTGGTGGGGCGCCGCCACAAAGATGACGGGGCCTTCCTTGGGGATCCGCCATGCTGATCGAGGCTGTCAGAGGGGCGCAAGAGCGAGCAGAAAGGCGGACAGGTCAGCAGCCGGCCAGAGAAGGCCCAAAGGGGAGGCAGAGGGCAAAGGAAGAGGAGCGGAGGCTGGCTACGCACCCGGATCTCTCGGAAAAAGAGATTAATGATGATCCTCCAAAAGAGGAGGGCAATGTCGAAGGCGATGTTGGACGCCATCAGGTTCTGCGCTCGAAAGACCCGACAGATGACTCTGGCGAACAGCGAAGGGACAATGCGGTGGAGCGGGACGGGGAGCGATCGCAGGAATCGGTCAAAGTCGCGCAGCGTGGCCACGAAGCGCGGGGAGTCGCCGGGACGAGCAAAGGGCGAGGCGCCGTTGCCGAGTCGCGCGGGCGGATGCTGACGTCGCTGTCGAAGGCCGCCAGCGGTCGGGACCGGGTTGAGCGCAGGTGGTCTCGCCGAGGATGCTGTTGCAGATGCCGCGGATGGTGCCGCTGCTGCTGTTGCCGTCGCCTTGCCGTTTGCGGTGGCTGCGACTGGTGCTGGTGCTGGTGCCGGTGCTGCTACCGCTGCGGCCCTGGCCTCGTCGATCGACTCGGAGAGGGGACTCTGGTAGCCAGACGGCAGGGGTGATCTGGCCGTGGCGCCGTTGTTCGTCGTCGTCTCGTCGGCCGCCGTTGGGAGCGGTTTGGAGATGGGGACAGAGGAGCTGGGGTCCGCGCCGGATTCCGAAGGCATCGACAGAGGTAGCCAGATGGGTCGCAGAGTGCCGCGGGTAGGCACGCGGGTCGAGGTTGAGTGGTAGACGGCGCTGGCTAGTCGGACGCGAAAGGTGAGACGGCCGCCGCGATGTCGTCGTCGTCGAATGGAAGACGATGAGGAGGAGTGGTGAGGGAGGAAGAAGAAGGATGACGAGGAGAAGGCGCAAAGAAGAAGAAGAAGAAGACCGGATCTCCCCCGAGCAGGGAAGAACTGAAGCGGGCCGGGTCGGGTGGGTCAGGGGAGCGCAGCGGTGGCCTAGCCTGGCCTTGCTTGGCGCTCGGTCCGGGTCAGGCGGACGAAACTCGGTCCAAGGCGGAGTGGCGTGTGTAGCTTGTGGGCGGCGATTCGAGAAGAAGGGCGAGCAGCTCAGGCGGTGGTGGTGACGGATAGAGTGAGGCTGATAGGGCAGGCGAGGGGATCAGATGTGACGCAGGAAGAAGACGTACGGCTGCGCGGCCTGCGTGCGTGTTGGATCGATTTGGGGGATCAGCTCGGATTGGGCCCCAAAGGGGTCGCGCCGAGGCCTGGCTGGGGGGCCCTGCGTGTGTGGCCCCGTTGCCTCGCCGCCTCGCCGCCTCGCCGCCTCGCGCCTGCCATCTGTTGCTGGCCCCCGCCGCCGCCGACGGCCTCGTCGCCGTACGTGTGCTGACTCCGGCTGCTTGCTCCTGCTGACTGCCGGCCATCAGCGACGACGAGCGAGCGCACCTAGCTGTTACCAACGTCGCCGGGCTGCTGGCGATTCACGTTAGAAACTCTTCTGCCAGGCCGGTCGCACCGGGACCATGCCAAGTCGTCCCGAGTTCGCCGCCGCCACCACCACGCACCGCGCAGCGTCGAAACGACGACAACGCCGCCACCACCGCTGTGAGAGCGAAGAGAGGGTCCGCGAGCGTTCGCGAGAAGCTCCGGCGAGACGCTCCGCGCCTTTGCCTCCGCCCGCCAGCCTCTCTGCTAGCTGGGCTTGGCTGCTGCTGCGCGCGTGCGTGTGTGTGCGTGGCGGCCTGGAGGCTTGCCTCGCCTGCCGCCCAAAGTTCCGTTTCATGGGGCAGAGGCGGGCGGACTGCTTCTGCCGGTGCCTGACGCTGGCTTGCTGGCTGGTGGCCCGTCCGCCTGCCCGCGCCCGACGTCGTGTGCCTCTCGGGTCGGCCTGCGTCCCGGCCGGGTGCAGCAGCCGGGCCAGCCTGGGAATTCGCCTGCCTGTCTGCTGTGGGGCAGAAGAGGCCCTGCCTGAACCCTGGACCCGGCACTCTGAGACCGAGAGGCCGCCGGACGGATGCATGTTCGATTCCTCCACACTGCATCGTCTTTTGGGCTGGCGCTGACTACAACGCGCCGCGCCGAACCAACGCGTCGTGGGAGTGCAACCTGCCGGGCAGCTCTGGCAACTCAACAGGCCCCTTTTCCCGGCCACCACCAACCACCACCGACTCGACCTCCTCTCCTTCCACCCGGCAGCCACAAAACTGGCCGCCTGTCCGCAAGTACAACAGTCGGCAGCAACATCGATGACGTCTCCGGGCGGGAGCAGCAGCCTCTCGGCGCCGCTGCGCATGACGGTGATTGCAGCTGCGACGATGACCAACGGGCTGGGTGTCGCAGGCGGCCTTCCCTGGAAGCTCAAGGGCGAGATGGCCTATTTCCGCAAGGCGACCTCGACGACCTCGACGGCGGCGGTGCGAGAGCCGGGCGGAGAGGGGCAGGAGCAGAGGAACGCCGTCATCATGGGGCGCAAGACGTGGGAGAGCATCCCGACCAAGTTCCGCCCGCTCAAGGATCGCGTCAACATCGTCGTGAGCCGCTCTCAGACGGAAGCCGACCTGGGCATGTGAGTGGACCGCCTTGCGCGCGCTCCCGATGGGCCGAGCCCTCTCGTATCCTTTCGCTGACCGGGACGCACCCGTCGCGACGAACGCAGATCCAACAAGGACGATGCCTGGCTGTTTCGCTCCATCGAAGAGGCGGTCCGCTACCTCCGGACGAGGACGACGGCGGATGGAGCCGCTTCAAGCGAAGCAGGCCCGCAGGTCGACCGGGTGTTTGTCATCGGCGGGGCGCAGCTCTACGCCGATAGCATGGCAGATGGCACGCCCGAGCGGCAGCGCCTTTTCGTCGTCGACCGCCTCCTCATCACGAGGATCCTCCGGCCGCTGTATCCGGAGTGCGACGCTTTCCTCCCCGAGTTCCGCGATGCCGATCAGGTCCAGCAAGACGCCAGCATCCAGGCTCAGGCTCAGGCCCAGGCCCAGGCCCAGGCAGCCGCCGACGTCGACGACAAGCCGCAGGAGGGCTCGCTCCGCCCGCTCGACCAAAGACGCTGGGAGAGGTCGTCGGCCGAGGAGCTGCAGCGGTACCTGTCCTTTGACCCGTCGCACGACGGAGGCAAGCTGGGCCGCCCGGGCGACGCCGTCGAGAATGAGGCCGACGTCTTCTACCAGTTTCAGATGTGGACCAGAGCATCGTAGCAGCTCTCGCGAAGGCAATTTACAGGGATGACAAGGAGCGCCGGGGGCCAGGCTTCAAAAGGAGTGTGAGTGCGCCCGATCAGGTAACGAGGGAAAGGTTCGACCAAAGTGTCCGGCGAGGGCGAGAGTTGACAGACGGTTGGAGAAAAGACGACCCAGGCTTACTGCTGAGAGGGCTTGCGAGCGATGAAGAGCTGCAAAAGGGGAGGGAGGTGGTGTGCGCAAGGGGAACAAGCGTCGATGGTCAGCCTCCGGGGTTCCGTGTCCCAGCGCACAGGTCAAATCTGGAACGTCGCCAACTCACCATCATCGGCGTCTGGCGATTCGATTGGTGGGCGGACGAGGCGAGGGGCAGGTGCGGGGATCCGCGAGCGAGAGAGAGTCAGCAACAGACCGGTCAAACTGCAGCACGGCTTGCGGCTCGCAGCAGCACGCGGCTACTCACAAAGAGCTTGGCCCTTCCGCCGGCGACGAGGGCCTCCGCGGCGACGATCAGAGACTCGCCGACGTCGTGCGTCCCCTTGGGCGCCAGGCCGATGCGCTCGAGGATCTTGACCGTGGTCTGCGTGGTAAACTTGCCTAGCCGGGTCATCCTGTGAGGGGCCAAGAGGGACACCACGACCGGGTGCAAAACAGGGTCAGAGAGGCTGCCTGGGGACCGGCTCCAACACCGGCCGCCGAAGACAGGATGGGAAACGCACCGGATGACTGTGAAAGCGTCCCAGATAGTCTGGCACTTGCGGATGTCGCCCTCGAGGGGATAGTACCAGGGAATCTTGTCGCCTCGGTCGGCGAGGTCTTCCTCGTGCTCGATCTCAAAGCCGACGGTCTTGAGCGCGGAGCGGGCGGCCTCGATGCTCCTCATCTCGGGGATGCCGTCGCCGACCTCGATGCCGTGGGCGATGCGCTTGTGCTCCGGGATCGAAGGGTCCCAGGCGTCGGTCATGCACCACTCGTAGACGCCGAACTGTGCGGTGAGATGGGGGATATGAGAGGGCGGGTACGGTCAATGTCCCGTCCCTGGCGAACCCTGTTGTCCCCCGGACAAGGCCGCCTGGCAGATGACCGGGATGCACGGAGCCGGACTCACGACTCCTCCGGGCTTGAGGACCTTCTTGATCTGGCCGTAGATGCCCTCCCAGTTGGGAGCGTGGCAGGTGGCCTCGATGGCGTAGACGGCGTCAAACGAGTTCTCGCCGAACTGCTCGTCGAGCTTCATGAAGTCGCCCTTGACGACTGTGGACCGCAGGCCGTCGCCACACAGAAGGAGAAAGGAGATTGGTCGTGACGTTTAGCCGTGCCGTGCGTTGGGAATTTGGCCTCCTCGCCCTTTTGAGAACGGCGCAAAACATCGACCGACGGGTCACGAAGAGGGGCCGCCGTCCACTCACACTCAATCTGGCTTTCGAGGCCGGCCTGGGCCGTGTACTTGCGTGCCCTCTGCACCTGGTACTCGTTGTTGTTGAGGCCGACGATGTTGACGTCGGCGAAGCGGGCAATCTCGCGGGCCGGGCCGCCGACGCCGCAGCCGACGTCGAGGACGCGCATCTTGGGCTTGAGCTGCATGCTGTGGGCAAGGTAGTGCTCGTGGCGAGCAATGGCCTGGTAAAAGGCCTCGCCGGGGTAGTAGCGGGCAAAGTGGAAGTTCTGGCCCCAGCCGTACTCGTAGAGGTCGGTGGCACCGTCATAGTAGCCTGTCGAAGCGGTCGGGACGAGTCGCGGGCGCCAGAGGCACACGTCAGCCAGCTGGTTCATCGGCCTGGACTGAGCGCCGGCGGGTGGGCTGCCCGGTCAGCGACGTGAATGAGGCTCACCGTTTACGACGCTGGTGTACTCGGTGAGTCGGTTGGCCATATCGGTCGAGGTGTCGTCCTTGGAGTCCTTCTGCCAGAACTTTGTGTAGTTGGCGATGCCCTCATTGTTGCGGACATTCTGAGCGGTGGGAGCCATTTCTGCGAGAGCGCCAAGGAGGGTGGTGGTGAGCAAGAGGCGGCGGCGGTGCGAAAAGGGTCGGCTTGCGGGACGGTGCCCCTGGGGATTCTCACTGGAAGTTTCGGACGGGGGAGAGAGGCAGTACGGGTTGATGGTGGGACGGTAGGTGATGACCGGATGGTAGAGGGTAGTGAGAGGGGAGGGGGCCGTCGGGCGTCGAGAAGAAGAAGAAGAAGCCAGGTTGCGCTCAAGTAGCCTGGCCCTGGCGGAGCGGGGGCCCAAACCCACCGCCAACCGACCAACCAACCGACCGACCCAAGGCCAGAGGCCGAACGCCCGCCCCCCAAACGAGGGCCCAATCAGGCCATCTTTGCCGGCAGCCGAGCGGCAGCGGAGAGCGTGCAAACGCAGCGCCAGGCGGGCAGGAAGAAGCAAGCGCAAGGCAAGGAAGGGCCAGGCAGGCAGGGTCGGCCTCTGCCTGCCTGCCTGGCAGCCACGACGGACGGACTTGGCCACAACCAACACGCACGCACGCACGCACGCACGCACGCATGCCGCCAGCCACTCAGGCGGCCAGGCAGACAGGCAGACAGGCAGACAGGCAGGCGAGGTGCCGCAGGGCAGGGCGAGCCATGGCGCCGTGGCCCTGGCCCAGCGCCGAGGCCAGAGGCCTGCCTGCCTGCCTACTTCCGCGGACCCGCGCGCGAAACCCTGCCCTGCCAGCAGCAGGGACCGCTTGGCCCTTGGTGGTGGGCCCAAGCTCAGCCTGGGCGGGCGCCTGGGGCCATTCGCAAACTGGCGCAGATGGCCTGATTTGGCAGGCGAGGCGAGGCGAGGCGAGGGCCGAACCCCGGGTTCCGTTGGGCCCAGCTCGGTTCCGACGCTCACCTCCACCTCGCCTTCAGAGGACCCCCCGTCGTCCTTCAGCCGGCCTGTTCAACGTCGTCCTGGCTCGAACCCGTCCGACCACCGACCACCGACCACCGACCACCAACCACCCGTCGGCCCAGCATCGAGCCAGGCCTCCTCTCTTTCCACCAACCACTCGAGCTCCAACATTCGCACCGGCTCGCTCGCTCGCTTGCCCGCTCGCCCTCTTTGCATTATGTCCGAGACTCGAGACCTCTTCGGCGGTGCCATCACCGCCCAGTTCCCCACCGGTTTCCTCGATGCAAGGTGAATTGGCCCAGCACCGCCCCCTTCACCGGCCTCCCACAAGCCCCTGGCCATCGCGCCGCTGCGAAGACCTTCTGACGGCAACTCGTCCCCGAATTCTCCGGATCATGCCCCACACACTGCAGCCAGCTGCGACAGGTGCCGGACAACCAGGAGGTGCTGATCCGAAACGACTCCGACGTCAGCTGCATCATCGAGGTGCTCCAGCTGGCCACCGAAGAAGGAGCCGGACAGGACCTCGACAAGGCCATCAGGTGAGCCTCGACTTCGCCGCAGCTGTAGCGCGATTGGCCGGCCGACTCACCGACCGACACCTTCGTCCTGCTGCCAACCTTGCTCGGCGCCCAGGTTCCACTTTGGATCCCTCGCCCACGACAACTCGGCCTCGAGCTCCAACATCGAAAGCGTCCGCCACCTCGAGCCGGCGCCGTCGACGGTGCAGCATGAGGAGCCTGCTCCCACCCCGAGGCCCTCGCTGCTGGTCGGCACGCAGGTGATCAAGAAGTTTGGCAAGGCTACGGAGCCGGACGACCTGGTCAGGATCCGACTGGCGCTGTGGCGCCTCGAGGGCAAGAGCGTCGACCTCGTCATGAGCCTCAACGAGCCGCTTCCCAGGGGCACCGCTGCTGAGGCGGCCCCCAGCGCGGACCTCGATGCCGCCTTCGAGCAGGCTGCGGCCAGCCTCAAGATCCGCGACTGGTCGCTCTTTGCTTGAGACGCGGCGGGCAGGGAAGGCAAGCCGAACTTGGCCCGCGAAGCAGAATCCCCGCTATCCGTGACGCGGGACGCTGGAGGGAGAGCAGGGAGACGTGTACATCTTCAGCCAGCTGGTGGCTGCAATGACTTGATGGATCGACTCGCCGCGCCTCGACCGCAACGCCGCTGCTTGTCCGCGCGTTGAAAGGTGCCAGTGCCCAGTGGCGGCGCGCAGAGGACCGCCGAGAAGCCAAACCGCTGCAGCTTGGCCTGATTGCAGATCGGTTTGTCTGGTGGCAGGGAAGAAGGAGCTCGTTGGTCGGGTTTGCCGCGGTCGCTCGAGGGATGGACGACCTGCGCGCGCATCGCGAGTCTGCCCGGCGTGTTGGAAGCCAAGGCAGGCAGGGTGTTGGTCTTTGGTCTCTGCGTGGGTCGGGTCGCGCGTGAAATGACGAGGGCCTCGCAAATTCCGACAGAAACGGTGCGTGCAGGAAGCGGGGGCGCCGCGCCCAGCTCCGTCGCTCCCTCCCTCGGGCTGTGCGGCTGCGCTGCGTTGCGCTGCTTCAAACAACAGGCTAGAGGCAGGGGCAGGGGGGAAGCCAACAACGTAACCCCCGCCGCTGCCGCCCCACCTCTCCTATCCACCACCAGCCACCGTATCAGCCTATCCGCTCCGTCAGACCGCGCTCCTGGCTCAGCACGATCGCTCGCTACCTGCCAGCGACCTCCCCAGCACGTCCTGCCCTCGACCGTCAGATCGTAGACGACCGCCCTCTTCGTGGCACCCCGGGGACGCGCGCCTCCAACCTAGGTCCACCTTCGATAGGCCGACGGGCAGCAGCACCTCGCACAGGACTCACCGGCCTCGACTCGCATCACCATGAGCTGTGCGCCCTGATCCGCGACTTTTCAGATCCAGCCCTGCCTCGACCGCCCCCCTTTCCGCGCGCGCTGCACGGCTTCTCGTGTCGAGCCAGAACCTGTATCGACCGGGCGTTCGAGGTGACGTTAGCGATTCGCCCTCCTCCATCTCCCAACCGGCCACGAGGTCAGGGCAACTCACCTCGAGACGGGGCCCTTTGGCTTGAACCATGTTTGTCGCCTCCTCGCTCTACCGGTACGCCACCGCGAAGCCAGAGGCGCCGTCCGAGAGCCCGCAGCCCAACCGCACCAACCGGGTCAAGCGCCGCCCCGCCCACGCCGGCCGGCCGCTCTCGCCACCGCCGTCGTACGCCTCCGTCACCGGCGAAAAGGCCAGCGGGACAGAGACCCACCACGATGACGTCGACCACCTCTCCGACGAGATGCGGGCCAAGATCGCCGTGCTCGACGCCATCACGGCCGAAGAGGACCTGTACAAGGTGCTCAACGTGCACCGCAGCGCCAAGCCCGAAGAGATCCGCAGGGCCTTTCTCAACCGCAGCCGCATCTGCCACCCAGAGTAAGCCCCGCCTTGTCGACCTGGTCCGTCGATCGTCTTGTCGATTCGGCCGCAGTTGCTGACGGTTGCCCCGAGACTATCACCGCCGCTTTCCCGCCTTTGCTCGCCCGCTCGCCCGCAGCAAGTTCCCCTCGTACCCGGCCTCGACGATAGCGTTCCAGAAGGTCGCCCTCGCCTACGAGACGCTCAGCAAGCCGTCGTCGCGGCGGATGTACGACGTCTCGGGCCGCAGCGACTTTGCCGCCGCCGTCAACAACGCCGAGGACGGCGTGTACGGCTCCGACCCCGGAGACTTTGGCGACGAGACGCTCAACAACGTCCTCTACACGATCATGTGCGAGTTCCTCGAGGGCGACTTTGACAAGCTCAAGGCCCTGATCCGTGAGTGGCGAGACGAGAGGTCCCTTTGTGCCGACGTCGGGGCGTCCATGCCGCAGATCCGCTGACGTCGTCCGGGAGGCCGTCTTGCCACCACCTGCGCATCCCGCAGAGGCGATGAACAGGGGAGATAATGGTGTGCAGGTGGATTCGGACGCCTTCCTCCGCAAGATCCACGACAAGCTCTTGGGTGAGTCGCCGCTCTCCCGCAGTCCTGGCGGGCATCGAGCGCAGCGTCTTGGCGAAGCTGACAGCGTCCGAACGCGTCCTTTTCCTGTGCCCTCGTCGCCTCGCCTCGCCTCGCCTCGGCAGCCGGAAGGCGGTACCTTCGGGTCGTGCACCTCGAGCTGATCCGCCTGTACGAGATCCAGCAGCACCTCCGCTCCCTCTCCTACCTCGACGTCTTTGGCCGGCTGCGCCTGACGATCCAGCTGGCGCGCGTCACGCTGAGCATCCCGATGGCCATCGACCAGGCCATGAAGACGTCGGGCGACGGGCATGAAGAGGGAGCGAGCGGGCCGGGGCGCGATGCCGACGCCGATGTCGATGTCCACCCACCCTCGGGTACCGAGTCGTCGGACGATGACGACGAGTACGACGTCGACGAGGACCGGGAGCAGTTCTTCGGCATCGCGGTCGACGATCGAGAAGCCGAGGTGGAGCGCGTTGACCGCCGGGCCGCGCGGCGGGCCGCCCGGGCAAAGAGGCGGGCGCGGGAAGCCGCGCGTCGGCAGAACCTCGAGGCGGGCCACCAGAGGCGGCGCACGACTTCCACCGCATCGGCATCGGCGCCGTCTCCATCCCCGTCCTCGACCGAGGATGCGGTGCAGCAGAGGGGCCTCCTCGGCCCGGCCACGGGCAAGCTGCTGCTCAACGTCATCAAGGTGCTCGAGGCGAGCGAGTCGTGGGTCCCCGGCCAGTCTGGTCGCAGCCACGACCCGGACCAATAGGTCCAGGACCCCGGTCTCGACGAGGTTGTTCGCCGCCAGGCTGGGATCGATGAGACCCATCCGCAATCGACCTTGCGAGTCCCCGGCGGTGGCTCCTTGGACCGCTCCGATACCTCTCCGGCTCTCCTCGCATCCCATCCCCGTCCCGATATACCCGGCAGGGCCCCGGCTCGCCATCCGTCTTGAGGCCGTCGCCGCTCAACATCTCCCGCTAATGTCGCATCATCCGCAGCTCCTCGTCCCCCGGTCTCGTCGCGCCTCACTCTCCCTTCTCTCTGGAAGTCTCCTCCCTTCTCTCGACTGTATACTACTCACCAGCCAGCCCGGATCGAGGCCATCGTTTGCACGTGCTGTGCGTCCCGATCACCCACTCCCCGGAAAGGTACTGTGCGTGTGGCGACGTACCCCGTCGTCGTCCCTCTTGATGACGTCCGGACGCGACTGTAACCTCGGGCCGGACCGTGGTCGGCGATCGATGGGTAGACTTGCCCGCTCGGCCCCGTCAGGTGTGATGGCAGCAGAGGACAGGACATGGCGAGGCAAGGCATCGGCATTTTGGCAGGCATTCGAGGAGCATCTATGGGCATGGACGTGGGTATGGGCAAGTTGGGATCGTCCGCGCAGCGGAGCACAGGGTTCATACGCTGTGGATCGACGTGAGCACGCCGATGGCGCTCGACAGGCGCTCCTGAAAGCCGGGAAGACGGAAGATCTGCATGGCCATCTGGTTGATGGCCAGGCCGAGGCTGTCCGCCTTGGCCGCCGCCGCCTGCAACGGCTCGAGGGGCGATCCGACCTTCTGGTCGCTCCTCGTTTCCGCCACGGATCGCGCCGTCGTTTCGCCCGTCTGGAGCATCCGTCTTAGCCTGTCGATCTGAGGTTGCGGCATCGACGACTGGTCGGGCCCCTGCCCGCCTCTGTCCGCCTTTTGCACTGCGGCGATGGCAGCCTCGTCGTCGAGGTTCTTGAGCTCGAACAGGCCAGCGCCGATGGCGATAAAAGCCCGGAGCAGGGGCACCAGCTGTGGCGGGCAAGTAGCGGCTCGAAGCAGCTGTGGTGGAGATTGGGATACCTGGACCGTCTTGATGCTGCCCTCTGGGATCGCTCCCGGATTCGCCGGGTCCGGGGCTTCCAGGCTCAAACGGGTCAGGGCCACTTCGAGGATGGCAAGGCACAGGCACGCGAAGCAGGCCCTCGAGGACCACTCGTTGAGGTGCGCCTGTTGTTGTCCTTGAGTCGCGTCGGGGAGGGACCTCGATACGATCTCGCGCAACGAGGGATAGAGGGCAAAGCAGTCGCCGAGGGCCGAGAAGAGCGTCTCTCGGATCAGGGAAAGCGTCTCTATCGTCTGGCTGCAGGGCTGCGGCGTGGAGGGTCCGGTCGCAGCCGCGGACGAGGACGAGGATGAGGATGGCCTGTGCGGTCGAGGCGGCTGTTGCGGCTTGGCGCCGGTAGCAGAGGAGGAGCCTTGCGGAGGCGCGACAGAATGGTTGTGGCGCTCGCTGGCAAAGTCGTCGGCGTCGTATGAAGGCGGTGGCTGGTACCTGGTGTGGGTCGAGTCCTGAGATGACCGAGGGGGCTCAGCCGTCGAACCACTGTGGCCATCGGAGGAGGCCCTGCCCACTTCGACAGAGGCGGGCCGGGAGCGGACGGCCGAGTCGAGAGCGTGCTGCAGATCGGTCGAGAAGCGCAGCTGGAAGCTCCGCCGCTGGTTCGTCGAGAGGGCGACGGGGGGGAAGGAAAGGAGACCTGGGTCAGCGCTGCCGCAGCACGGCGAGGCGTTCGGCCTCGAGGCTGGCGTCATGGGGTCTACGCACCTGTGCAATGTCGATTGCGACCCTCTTGAGATCGTTGGATATGGCGACGACGTCTACGCGGACGGGGCTGGAGACGGGTTCGTTTTCGGTGAGGAGGAGTGCGAGGTCGTAGCGGTGTTCGGCCGAGAGGTACTGGATGGGCAGGACAGTATTCTGCCACACGCGGAAAAAGGGGAGGAACGAGGGCGGGCATGTGTGCTCGGACAGGACGAGGTCGCGGTCGGCGGCGCCCTGCGGGTACGGGAACTCGATCTGCGGAGGGTCGCCCCTGGCGCGGAGGGCGGCGAAGAAGAGGCAGAGGGCTGGGCCGGAGACCTCGACGTCTATGGCGTGCGGTGGTGGTTGCGCGGCGGGCTGCGATGGATCTGCGCGGTTGGCTGCGGGGTGGAGGTAGGCGAGGTCGTCCTGGCTGATGAGGCCGTCTGCCTTTGCCTGGGTGAGGGCGGCCTTGAGGAGGGTGTGGAAGCCGAGGATGACTTGGGTCTCGGTGAGGGTCGAGGGCGAGGCAGTGTGGGAGTCGCCGAGCGTCCCGGGCGAGGAAGGGTGTGGTAGGGTCATGGCGGGCGTTGATGGTGGTGGTGGTGGTGGTGGTGGTGGTGTTGGGGATGGTCGCCATCGGAGGTGGGGGGATGTTGGGGGTGGCCCCCGTCGCATGTGGCTGTGCGTTGGCGGAGGCGTGAGGCGTGAGGCGTGAGGGTGAGGCTTGAAAGCGAGGGCCAGGAAGTCAAGTGGAGGAGGCCCGAACCAGCCTTCCCTCATTCGCACGAGTGACGAGCCCCCGAGATCCGAACAGAGGGGCGGGCGGCCCAGGCCAAGCCAGGCCAAGCGCACCTGAAAGACGAAAGAGGCCGCGCCGAGCAGCCGGCCCGCATCGACATCCGAAGCAGCCGGAAGGCCCGGCGTAGGCGGGGCCTGCCACGCTGCCTGGGCCTCTCACCCCCCCGCATTCCGCTGGTTGTCTGCGGCCCGAACCTCGGTCAGCCCTCGTTCGCCTTGCCCTGCCTCGACGCCTTTCTTGCTCTCCCCCCCACCCTTCACTCCCCTCCTCTCCAGTGATCCGCCATCCTCACGACTGTACCGAATCCACCGCCCCTGGACAAGATGGCCGAATCCTACTCCCGCAACTTCCCCACCGACCGGCCCCTCGTCCGGCTCGACTTTGACGGCGCATCGAGCATCTGGACGCTCCACTTTCTCGCGGCCGACACGCCCGACAACCGCCTCAACCACAACTTTATCAACAATGGCCTCCTCCCCGCCCTCTCGTTTGTCGAGGCCGAGTGGGACACGATGACCAACTCGGGCAACGCCGCCCAGGGCGCCGCCCTCATCACCACGGGCCAGACCCACGACAAGGCCAAGATCTACTCCAACGGCCTTGACCTCGAGGCCGCCATCGCCGACCCCAACTTTTTCGACGACTGCCTAAACACCCTCTACGAGAAGCTCCTCACCTTCCCCATCCCCACCATCGCCAGCATCGGCGGACACGCCTTTGCCGCCGGCTTCGGCCTCGTCTGCGCCCACGACTACCGCGTCATGAACAGCGCCCGCGGCTACCTCTGCATGAACGAGATCGACTTTGGCGCCCAGCTGCCCCACGGCCTCCAGATGGCCCTCGCCGCCAAGATCGCCCACCCGCAGACGATGCGCAAGATCGTCCTCGAGGGCCACCGCTTCACCGCAAAAGAGGCCCACGACGCCGGCATCGTCGACCTCGTCGCCGACGCGCAGCGCTACCCGGGACCCGCCGGCACCCTCAAGCTCGCCACCGAGCTCGCCACCAAGATCAAGGTAAAGGCCAGCAAGGACTGCTGGGGCAGCAACAAGGTCGTCCTCTACGCGCCCCAGCTCGCCATCCTCCGTACCAAGCACGAGATCGCCATGGCCAATCTCTATAAGCCGCCGTCATCGCAGTCATCGGCGCCGTCGCCGTCGTCCAAGCTCTGATCCCGGCACGACGGATCCCCGGCGGAGCCCAGACAGCGGCCTCGATTGGATTGACGGGGCTGCGTCGAAGGCCGTTGTAGCGGCGTGCGGCACCGTCCAGACAGGCAGACAGGCGGGGCCCAGGGGGCCCGCGAGGTTGCGGCAGAGACGTGTCGTGTGTGCGTGTACGATATCCACGTGGCGCTCGCTACGGGTGGCACGCCAGTCCCTTGTCGTCGTCCGGGTGTCGTGAAAAGTCGCGGTTGAACCAGTAGTGTCCCAGGCCGGCACCTGCGCGAAGCACGTTGGAGCAAACACAGCAGACGCAGCAGCAGAGACGTCAGCGGCGTGTCTACCCCTACGCTGGTCGTGGGCAGATCAGGTCGGCCAGTACAGTGCAGTGCGCGACTCACCTCCGACGATGGCGCCAATCAGGTAGGCGTTGAATGTCATCGCCACCAGCATCAGCATGAAGGAGATGAAGACGCTCAGGGCATAGAGGGTCGAGCGAAACACCTGTGTCCGCCGCCGTATCAGCAGCGGCATTCTGGCGAGGTCAGAAGGGAGAGTGAACGGGTTGAATTGTAGTGTGAGTCAGTATGAGACGAGCTGGCCGAGTCGACGTCGGCGAGATGCGTCCACCCTGGCAGACGACGGGTGGGCAGACGCACGGTGCTAGCCTGCTGGACCTCCTCGCCTTCCTCGCCGCAGTGCCGAGACCGTTCGAAGATCCGCTGGCGACGCTGGCGGTGTCGGCGATGCTCACGCCCGCCGCCGACGTGGTGGGGAGGATGCTGGCCCTCCTGCGGTGGTGGTGACCTCCGCCCAGCCTGGCCTCCATGCCGCTGGCGATCCGGGCGTCGTTGGCCTTGGTGTACAGCCGCAGCCACTCGTAGCCCGCCGATACGACGACGAGGACGCAGAGCGAGAGGAAGAATGCCCGCGGCGTGCGGACGTGCCAGGATTCGGAGATGATGCAGATGTTGGACGTATCCGCGTTCCACGTCATGAGCATGGGGCAGGCGTCGCCCGGCATCGGCATGCTGTGGCCCGGCGGCATGTCGTGCTGGCCGTGGTGGTGGTCGTGGTCCATCGTGGGCGGGCTGTTGCGCTCGTGGTGGTGGAGGTGATATGAGCGATGGGGGGGTGCAAGCCAGCGGGGCGAGTGGTGGCGAGGAGGCAAGCAGGGCGAGGATTGGCACCAGCCACCTGGCACCAGCCACCTGGCCAGCCCACCTGCCCGGCCCGCCTTCAGGGTCCAGCCGAGCACGGGCTAAAAGGCGCAGGCGGGCCAGGCCAGCCCAGAAGGCCAGCTTCAAAGACACCGTGGCGGGTCGCCCGACTCTCCCGGCAACGACCGTCGATCGCTCCGCCGGGCAGGCTCTACCAAGCCCACGCTGAACAGGCGACGCCATGCCCAGGAAAACCCAGATAGCGAGGCGCGGCCTTGAAACACGGGACAGGAGGACAAAGGTAGAATACATGGGAGGGGCTAGGGGGGCCGACGGGCAGGTTGGTATGCGGGGACGGACGAGGGGTGCGAGGATGAGAGCCGCGGGTGCCGATTGTGCGCCAGAGGGTGCCTCCGCGCGGGCGTGCGAGGATGTGCAAGGAGCGGAGCGAGCGCGGGACAGAGAGGGGCTGATGTGGCGCGTCGACGGCCATCGGGGAGCCCCTGGGACGGCGTGACCGCTCTCCTGGGTCGTGGCGGTGGGACCATGCAGTGAGAGGTTGCTCGCAGCCGGAGTGGAGACGGAAGCGGCCGCGGAGTCGGATGCGAGGATGCTGAATGCGTGACAACGAGTCGATCGATGCAGAGGAGTCGCAGGGGATGGGCATTTGGCGTCGAGCCCTGCTGGAAGAAGGTGGGGGTGGCCTGGTGCGTCGCGATGCAGCGGCGCAGACTCGTCGAGGATGGCATGTCGGCCGGCGCGCGGATCGGACCAGGGGCCCGGCCAGGTTGGACTCGCCGATGAATGGCGCCAGGGGCGAAGCCGACAGCCGGCGCCGGGGCGGGTGGCCGGCGAGGATGCGGACGTGGACGTGCACGCCTCAGATGGCCACGTTCCACTCCCAGCGGCCCTCCTGGAAGCCGTTGGCCGTGTCCGCCAGCAGGATCTCTCTGCGCTTCTGGACGTAGACGGTGAGGTCGGTGACGCGCTGGCGCATCTCGGGGATGTTGTCCTTCTCGATGGGCTTCTCGAGCTGCTCCGAGAGGTCCTCGACGGCGCGCTCCAGGTCGCGCTGGTTGTCCTCGAAGAGCTCCGTCATGTTGTTGCGCACGAGGTAGAAGGCCATGCAGTAGGTCCACTTGAGCGTCATGCGGCACTCGGTCAGGATGTCGACGGCCTTCTTGAGAAACTGGACCTCGATCCACGTGAGGTCCGACGTGAGCTGCATCTCCTCCATCTTTTTCTCGGTGCGCCCGTACAGGTCGCGGTCCAGCTTGGCCGACTGCTCGTGGTTGGCGAAGCGGTTGAAGTAGTGCAGGTAGCGCTCCAGCGAGGCGCGCGACTTGGCCTGGCTGTCGCGCGCGTTGCTGCCGCTCTTTTCGTCGTAGCGGTTGCAGTTGTACCAGCTGTTGCCGTGCTCGGTCCAGGGTCCCGAGCAGATCCAGCACCACTCGTGCTTGCACTTGCGGCACGTCATGTGGTTGCACCCGCCGTTTTTCTCGATCGTCGAGCTGCACTTGGGGCACTCCTTGGTGTTGGCGCTGATCCAGTTGGCCGTCTCGCTGTCGTCCTCGCACTTCTTGAGCCACAGCTTGACAATCGGGCACACGGCCGGGGCATGGGCGGCGTTGCCGCACCCGAAGCAGAACGGGTGGCCGCAGTCGCACTTGACCGACGGCACCACCTTGTCGAGCTTCTTGGACGACACGTGGCACTCGACCGCCAGCTCGCAGTTGGGCGCCGGGCACCAGCGCAGGATGCTCGAGTCGTCGACGTAGGTGCGGTTGAGCAGGATCTTGTACCTGCACGGTGCGGGCCGGCGGCGACCCGACGAGAGGACGAGGGCGAAGGCGAATGGCCGCAGCGTTCCGAGGATCGTCAGCCCTTCTGTCGTGTCGTGTCGTGTCGTGTCGTGGGTCGGTCGCCCCGGGGCCCAGGCACACTCACCTGTCAAACGTCGCCGGCTCGACGACGAGGCCCACCGTGACCTCGTCAATGACCAGGTTGCACTTCTCCTTCATGCACTGCATCCGCCGCGACTCGCCCTCCTCGCGGATCTTCTGCTCCATGTACTGCTGGTAGCAGTCCTTGCAGTAGCGGTGGCCGCACGCGAGCGCCAGCGTCTCCATCTTGCCCGAAGGCTCGTCGTCGGACGACGTGTAGCACACCTCGCACGTGAAGCCGGCGAGCCTCTGCAGCTTTGGCCGCGCCGGATCCTCGTGGACGCCCGCCTCGAGGTTGACGCTCTCGGGCGCGTCCATGTAGCGCTCGATCAGACGCTCCTTGTTCCAGCCAAAGTGCCGGAGCAGGATCGCCGCATCGGTGTCCTGCCGAGGTGTGGACGGGCGTGCAGCAGACGAGGAGCGAAGGGGACCGTGGGAAGGAGCGCAGACAAGCAGGTCAGCGGGCGCTGCCGGCAAGGCCCTACGTGCTGATGTCTGGATCCCTCGTCGGCGCCGGTTGCTCACCTTGATCATAAACATGCTGGCCACGTGTTCGACCTCTTCCTTCTGGGCCGACTCTATGCTGGCGACGGTGTGCGACTTGAAGTCGACCTCAAACGTCCGCTTCTGCCCCATGTCCTGCGTCGCAAACGCATCGTCTGCGTCGCCGTAGTCGTCGAGGACGGCCTCCTCGTCAGAGTTGCCTGCATAGTCGCTGTCGCCGTTCTCGTCGTAGCCGTAGACGGAATCCTCGTCCATGGTGTCTTCGACATCATCGTCGAGGAAGTTCTGCTCGAGGCGGCAAGGAGAGGAGAGGGGGCAGTCGGCGTATCAGCGGCAAATCTTTCGTGGGAGTATATGCCGGCAGACACCCATGACGGCTGACGGGGCTTCGGAGCCCAGCATTTGGTCCCCTAACCGCCCGGACAGATACTCACGTCGTCGCTAATGTCCGACATGGTGGGCGAGCGCTGCACTGGACTGCGGCTGCGGCTGCGGCTGCGGCTGACAGGCCAGAAGAGGCTCTACTGACACAAGGGGCGAAGCGAGCTGGTCTCTGGCAGTGTCGTCGATACCTGCTGGGGCCAATCCGGATGGTGTCACTCTTTGCTGGGTCTCTGAGGCGATGTTTCTCGCGCTGATAGCGCTGCTCAGAGAGGAGACGTGCGACGGAGGCGGGCGCTGCTGTCGGATTATCGAGGCAGATGCGTGCTGGTCTGAGCAGTGATGGCGGCGGCCGTCTTATGGATAAAGGGCGGAGCGGAAGAGAGACCGCCAGCTTTCGAGACCGGTCCTCGTGTGCTTCTGGGGGTGGAGTGCTCTGCGGATAGGTCGAGTCGAGGCCGGCGTGTCCGGGACGTGCGTGGGGTCGATGGGAGAGAGGAGGATGCTGAGCGACAGGGGCGAGATCGACGCGGATCAGGGGCTGTCCGCTGCTTCACAGAGGGGCGTAGGGTGGGGTCAAGACGTGCGGTGGTGGTGGTGGTGGTGGGTGGCGCTTGAAAGGGGAGGCAAAGCAAAGGCAGGGATCGGCCGCCCGTGCCAGAAATTACGATGATGATGCAGCGGGCGGGGCGCCGGCAGCCCAGCCAGCTCAGCCCAGCGCGGCCGGCCGGGCCTAGCGTAGCCTGCTGCCCTGACGAGGGGTCCGGCCGCACGCCCACCGCTGGTCTCGCCTGCTGGCCTCGCCTCGATGCGTGCCCCAGCCACCCTCGCTCACGACAAATTCACGCGGCCCCCTGGCAGGCCAGGCCAAGCCAGGCCAAGCCATGCCCTGCCAGGGCCATCACATCGTCCGGCTCTGCTGCTGCTGGCATCGACCGCCGCCGCGTGGAGGAGGCACGCCGCGGGATGCAAGAGGAGCGTTCCGATTCCGACTCTGAGCCGACCGGATCCGAGCTGAGCTCCGCCCCGCCCCGCCTCGTCTGTCAGTCTCTCCTTCTGACACGCCGTTGCTGGCTGCCACGCCTCTCGGTCTCGACCTGGCCCTGTGGACACTCTTTTGAACAGCGCGGCATTAGACCGATTCCGTCATTACACTACGAGTCAAGCTGAATGACCAGAGGCCATTGTCCTTCCGTAGTCTCGACGACGACGACCGCGTCTCGCCACGATCCGGGCACGTTTGACCAGCTATCGGAGGATGGGTTCCATAGCCGCGCGTCGTGGCAGCTCTGCCACACGTCGTCGGCCATCAGTCGATCAGGTACTTGCGCTTGAAGAACGACCGCAGGTGGAAGACCTGCCACGCGCCGAGCGCAAGCAGCGCGATCAGGGTCAGCCATGCAAAGTTGGATACGCGCTCGTTGGTCGACACTGGATGGCGAGCAAAGGAGGCCAGGGGGCAAGACGAGCGTCAGCCGAGGTCTGTGGGAGATGAGGTTGCCCATCGCACGCAGTGCAGGCCGACGACCCAGGGGCCACCCACCGTTGGTGTCGCGCATCTTCATCTCGCGTTTTTTGAGGTAGTCCATCTCGTTCATGATCTCGAGCGCCACGGCCTCGAGCTTCCTCATCTCCGTCTCGAGGCCGGACAGCGACTCCTGGTTGGCGATGGCGTTGTAGTCGACGGCGTCGGCGCCGATGTCGACGTCGAGGTCGATGGTCATGACGGGCGTCCGCTTGGCTTTCGCTGTCGAGCCAGAGGCGGCGGGGTGGTCGGCGGAGTGGGCGCGGGTCAGCATGCGTGCGGTCCTCTTCGAACAGGCGCGCCGCGCGGCATCGACTCACAGATCGCCACATTCTTGAAGCAGACGCCGAGGTCGGCGTGCGAGTGCGTGTTGATGGCGAGCCTCGTCTCGCCGCGGATGTTCTTCTTGGAGAGGTAGATGTTGTTGTGCTTGCTCCCGTCCACGACCTCGATGTCGAGCCGCATGTCGTCGGCGCTGAAACCCTCGGCGGGCACCGTGTTGGCAGTGATGACGACCAGCGTGTCGGCCAGGGCGTAGTTCCAGATGCACTTGTTGGCCGGGCTCGTCGAGGCTGGCAGGTCAAACTTGATCGCATGGGCGGCCAGCGCCAGCAGAGAGAGGGCCGTCAGGCCGACGGACAGTGAGAGCCGCATCGCCAGTCCGCGTATCGAATGTGAGACTCGGGCGCCGAAGGGGACCGATGGGAGGATGTCGAGAGAGGTGTCGTGCGAGCAGCCTGGCGAGGTGGCCGACTTTGAGTCCGCTTCGAAGCTGAGCAGAGGATTTGCGGCGGCCGCGGCGTCGTGAGTCGTGATGGGATAGAGAAAGGCCGGCGGAGCAGCCTTGTGGCGTGACGAGCGAAGAGGGCGGGGTCGGATCTGCTATCCAGAAGAGGTGAAGGAGGAGGAGGGCGGAGACACACAGGAGGGAGGTCCATGCATCGCCTGCCAGCCAGCCCGACCGACCGTCAGCCAGCAGCGCTTGCTGGCAGGTCGCCTCTCCGAGCCGGCATCGGGGACCCTGCGCTGCCCCGATCTCTCGCCCGCCGCGGGGTCTGGGGCTTTCGATTTTTGCTTTCTTCTCCCCGTGGCCCATTCGGGCGCGGCGGCGAAAATTTGTTGTGCCCGCTCACCATCCATCATCCCCAGCCCTCGACGCCATCGGCCGCTGCACCACCTCTTCGACGCCATCTGCCACCCCTCGCCGCCTCTACGCAGCCACCGTACCAACTCGCTCAGCCTCATCGGAAGCAAGCTCGCCCGCCATGCATCTTATGTACACCCTCGACGCTGTGAGTGCCTCGACGATCCGCGGCTGACGACAACGACGACGACGACGACGACGAGAGCCGCGCCTGATCCTGCCACCGGTGCTGATTCCACGTTGTCCGTGTGATCTCCTCCATCCTGTCGCGCGACGCCCTGCAGGAGGGCAACCGCATCTACACGCTCAAGAAGAAGACGGTCGCCGGCGTGCTCACCAAGTCGGCGCATCCCGCGCGCTTCTCGCCCGACGACAAGTTCTCGCGGCACCGCGTGACCATCAAGAAGCGCTTCGGCATCCTCCCGACGCAGCTTCCCACCAAGCCGATGTGATTGCACCCGCACCTCTTCCTTTCTCTCTCTTCGGGAACCCTCCCTGGCCGCGGTCGCATCGTCAGCGGAAGGCCAAGCTCGGGTCTCCCTCCGCAAGCCACGCCTGCCGACCTCGTCGTTCCGTCCGGATCTGGATCTCTGCTCGTCCGACCAGGGAGGCATGACGGGGTCTTTATACACACGCTGGCGCGCACTCGAATTCGCCTGGCTCATCCGGTGTTCTGCTCGACTGAGCAACTCGCCGACTCGCCGCTCCTCCGTCCTGCGAGATGCTGGCCTGAAGCTGGCAAAGGGCTCCACGGAGCCCCCATCCCTTGCGCCAAGCAGGATGTGGCTCTGCACGTCCAGCCTCTGGTGCCCACCCACGAAGCCACCCTCTCCCTTTCACCCGCCTCTCCGCCATCAACCTGTACTTGTATAATCTGCTGCATTGTCCTCGAAGCCTGTTCCTTTCCAGCCCGCTTTCTGCCGATACCCCGATGCAGGTTGATCTGCAAGCCTGCTGTTGCGGCGACAGCGGTGTGGAAGCGAGCGGTGGACCGCGCAGCTTCGGCAAGGCGAGGCAGCGCTGGCCTGGCTGCGAAAGGCCGTGCTGCAGGTGGCGCGAGCGCTGAGCGGGCGTCTTCCGTGTGCTGAGGTGTCGAGGCGGAGCGAGTCGCGGTCTCGACGGCAAGCCTCGCGCAGGTGTGTGAGGCAGTCGCTGTCGCTGGTTGGTACGTAGTCGGTGCGGCTTACTCTGAGTGGCTGCGTGCAGGTCGGTGGGCGGCTCAGCCTCCATGGAGCGTGCTGATGAAGACGATCTCATCACCGTCCTGAAGAACGTAGTCGCCCTCGCCCTCGAGCTCCCAGTCGCCATTGTTGATGAGGACCAGGATCCCAGGGCGCCTGCCAGTGGTCAAGGAGGGGAGAGGGGCCAAGCTTGAGCCGCCTGGACAAGACAGGAGGGAAGGAGGGTGCACGGCCGTCGTCGCAGACTCACACCGTGTTTCCGTCGACAAAGAGCTCCTCCCTCTCTACGACGAGGTTCTTGCGGATGTGCTGGATGAGGTCTGCGACATCGGTCTGCCTGCCGTGCTGGTTGGTCCTGGGCAGCTGGAAGGTATGCTTCTTTTGATGAGGCGGGGCAAGGAGGAGCTCGGTGCCCCCCGCCAGCTCGACGTGCACCGTGACCTTTGCATCGCCGGCCGTCATGGTCCCAGCGTCGACGACCGCTGCTGCAGCAGCCATCGAACGCAGCTCGAAGAATGCTGGGGCAGGCCGATTATTCGCCTGCAGATCTCGAGCGAGATGGAGACAGATGGAGTGAGAGAGGAGCGAGGACGAGGGGAGGGGGCAGGAGGCCAGAGCGCCAGATTAGACGGGTCGATGGTGGCGGCGGGAAGAAGCCGACCGCGTCCGGTTCGGTTCCGGACGCGCCCACCGAAAGATGCCGGGCAGCGGAGCAGCCAGCCGGGACGGGGCCAGCCACGGCCAGGCTATGCGGTCGCAGCCTCGATATGCTCCGGCTCGCATCTCGACGATGTCCTCCGTGCACTTCATTCGCGGTCTCTCAGTCTCATGTCTGTCTGTCTGTCTGTCCTGCGCCTCTCGATATGTATCGCACTACTGGACGAGGAGAAAAGTCGTGCGCATTCATGAGTTCACTGAAAGAACAGCCCGAGGCCTGCAGCTTCGTGCTCTGCAAACAGGGACAGCGGATTGAGTGCAGGGTTGATCTCGTCGAGCGGAGCTTCGACGGCGTCGGAAGGCTGCAGGTACCCCTCGACGCCGTTGGCGTGCTGGGATCTGGCGCGCCACGTCTCGGTCCACAGATCGCGGCTGAGCCAGCCGATAAAGTGCTCGTCGCCAAAGCCGCCGACCCAATAGATGCGGCCGACGACAAACCTGGCCCAGAAGGGGACGTGGGGCGACTCTTTGGCGCCTGGAGCCCAGTGGCTCGCGTCGCGATGGTGGGACAGGAAGCAGCGAGAGAGGTCGTCCCGGTCCGTGCCAGGTGCGGTCGAGGTCTCGTCGAGGAGCTCAAAGTGGCCGAAGAAGGTGGCCCGGCCTTTTGACGGCATGCCCCGCCGCCACGAGGGCCGCTTCGGATCCCACTGCGGGTGGCTTGGGTCGTCGTGAGACGAGTGCCGTCGGTCGGGCACTGCCGGGTCGGTGTTGGATGCGATGGCGACCGTGGCGTTCTTGCTCGGGCTCGTGAGCACGTTGCGCCAGGTCTGTGAGCTGCGGTGACGGTGTCGCGAGAGAGAGACAGAAAGAGATAGAGGGAGAGAACCAGGACGAGTTCAGCAAGCGGCGCGACGGCCTCTGGAGCAGCGATGCGCGAGGTCGTTGCGGCGACACGCACACCTTGAGACCGAGGAAGAGGAGGTCTCCGTTGGCGAAGCAGGGTGCGTAGTACTCGGGTCCCGAGATGGTCTGGCCGCGGAGGAAGGCGTCGCCGACGTCGTCGGCATACCGCGTCGAGAGGGTGGCCACGCCAAAGATGCCGGCGTCGTTGACCAGGTCGTATGCCTGACCCGCGGCTGCACGGCGGTCCAGATGGGCAGGGCGGGCGGTTTCAGTGCCCGGCTGGCGGATCGCTCTGCGCAGACCGAGGGGCGACTGGTGTGCGAGGTTCAGGACCCACCTTGGCGCGACGTCTCCCAGGCCAGCGCCACCGAGGCGGCCGCTGCGACCGTCGATGCGAGCGTGGCGGCAAGGCGCATGGTGGTCGCCGTGGCAGTCGTTCTAGACAGTATGCAGTGTCGCGAGCTTTGGCTGAGTCGTTGATCTGCTGCGGCGGAAGGAGGCAGAAGGCGCAGGAGCGGGCTGAGTGGTGGGATGTGCGAGAAAGAGAGAGAGAGAGAGAAAGCAGCTCTGGCAGCTTATGTACTTTGACGGTCCTCCCGCCCCGGACCCCTTTGGCGACCCCACACTCCGGCACCATTGGGGTGGAGGCGTTCGGGCCCCCCTCTTCACCATAATCATTGCGCTCAGTAGTTGCGTGCACGGCACCGCGCTACCACACTACTTCTGACTCCTACCGCCTGTCTCTAATCCCCGCATCGCACTCCGGCACAGACAATCACGCAGGGGTCTGTGGGCTGTAGATCGGAGCCTGGCTGGCTGCGCTGGTATCTCGGTATCGCCCAGTGGTGGGATGGGGCGCCTGTGGTATGTATACATGGGGTGTTGCGCATCGTCTTCCGCGTCTTGCGCGTCGTCCTCTCCTCGTGCGGCCGGCCGGCCGGCCCGTGCGTGCACGAGGGCGCCGAGGGCTGTCGGTCGGCGACGTCGAGACGGCCCGGTGTCAGTCGATCGAGACGTCGCCGTGCCCCTGTTCGACGGCGGCGGGCCTCGACGGCGAAGACTCGAGCGGGAAGGTCCTCGTCATGCCGTGCAAGCCCTTGCCGGGGCTCGCTCCGGCGCCCTCGTCGTCTTCGCTGACGAAGCTCGAGTCCACCTCAATCTCTGGCGTCGTCTGCGACAGGGATTCGTCTCTGCTCGCGTCGGATCCATCCCGACTCTCGTCTGCGTCGTCTGCGTCGTCTGCTTCGCCGGACGTATTGGGCCTGGTGTCAGCCTCGACGCCACCGCCGTCGCCGTCCTCGCCGGCGTGCGTGGGATGTTGCGGCGTCGTTGCGCGAGACGACATGGCCGAGACGTCTCCGTACGTCTGGTCCGTCACGTCGCCGACGCCCTCGCCCTCGCCCTCCAGGTCTGCCTCCTCGTCCTGCTCATCCGCCCGCTCTCCCTCGGCTTCCCGACGCATCTGCTCGAGCTCGAGCGGGTGCAGCACCTTGCCCCCCAGCCCCGCGTCCTCGTGCACGTACTTGCTCAGGATGGCCTGCCGAGCTCGGCTGACCATGCTGTCGATCAGCGTCTTGCATCGCTGGTGCGCGGCCTCGAGCTCGGCGTCCTCCTCGCCATCGTCGTCGGCATCCTCAAAGTAGTCGCCCTCGTCGTCGTCGTCGCTCAGGCTGCTGGCCAGCTGCGCGGCGATCTCGTCCGGCCCCATGGTCGCACCGCGGCCCTCGCGCAGCCTCCGCTTCAGCTCGCGGATCTCGCGCGCCTGCTTGAGCTTGGTCGCCTCGAGCGCTGCATTGATCGCCATGAGGCTCTTGTTGGTGATCTCGAGGTCCAGCAGCTTGCGATTGTTTCGGGCGCCTTCGGCCTCTGCCAGCACGGCGGCAGAGATGCTCGACACCTCCGACGTGGGCGACCGCAGGCCCGAATTGGCATCGTGGGATGATCCGACGCTGCTCGCAAAGCTGGCCCGGTTTAGCAGCGGCGGAGGGGCCGAGGTCCGCGGCGACGCAGGGCCGCTGCTGGACGCAAAGGCAGGCTGCGACGTGGCGATCGGCTTGGGTATCGAAGGTCTCTGGAAGGCGCTGTTCGACCTCGCGTGCGACCGGCCGACGGTGGAGCTGGTGGCTGCCCCCTTTGCGTCGCCGACGGCCGGCGATGATCTCTGGGCGGTGCTGCTAGTGGCGCTGGCCAGGGAGCTCCGTCGCCGAAGCAGAGGGGCGCCACCTTCGCGCAGCGGCGCCTCGAGAAAGCGCGGCGAGGTGCTGAGCGACGAGGACGCCGTCGTTGGCCCGGAAGCTTCATGCAGCTCCTGAGGACTCTCGTAGGCGGGTGCAAGCGATTGTCCACTGCGATCCGGAAAGCGCCCTGGTTCCAGGTTCGAGGGCGACGGAGTGCGGCTCCTCTGCCCCAGAGCGTCAGCGCGGACGGGCAGGCCAAAGGCACGCGCCTGGTTCCGCACCGGAGGCGTTGGCGCCGCGCTGGCCCGCACATTGATGACCGTCTGGGCGCGAGGGAGCGGGGCTCGAAACGACGTCGGACCGTTGGACAAGGTTGCGTCGGGGCGACCGGACAAGCTGGGCGAAGGCGGCAGGGACGCGTGCGAGCCAAGGTCGATGCTGCGGTTGTGGCCCCGAGCCTTGTGCGACCGCAGCGAGACAAACGACTGGTCCTCGCCGCGCGACTCGGGAGACGAGATGATGCTGGACGCGCGCACGGCTACGCCGGCCGACGTCGATGGCCTCGCCACAGGCCCGGAAGCCGAGGCACCGCCGATGGACGGCGAGGTGATGCCGTGCGCCCGTGCCGAAGTGTAGCTCGCATTGCGCGTGAGCGGCGGCGACATTGCGCTGTTGCCGGCGGCGGTGGGCGTCGACGCGATCGAGGGAGAGCTGGCGTAGGCCGACATGTCGACCTTTGCCCGGCCTGACATGGTCGGTGTGCGCGCCGATGTGGCGGTGGGTGTGGAAAAGGACGACGAGGCGGCTGAGCCGGGCGCCGTCCGAAGCATCCTGGGTCGGGTGGCGGATGGGGTCAGCGTCGACGAAGGAGAGTCCGAGGAGCCAATGTCCATGCGGCCCATGACCCTTCGCTTTCCTGGCTGAGCCCCGGATTGCGCCATGGCGGCGGCGTCTTGTCGAGCAGCTTCGTCCGGCGCAGTGGCAATGACGGCAATGCCGAGGTCGTCGTCGGCTAGTGCGCGGGATGGCGTGTCGAAACGGCGTAGATGCGAG